TCCTCTCCGTTTCGTTTCTCTCTAGGGAAATGAGTTTTCCATCCACGCAGCACTCAGGATATTGCGAATTAAAGGTTTCATATCCCCCTAGGGAAGACAAGAAAAAGAAATACAAACGTTTGCATTTCCAACAACTGGCTTCATTAAAGTGGAGGAGAAATGAAACTTCGGTGCCTGTAATGAAGCAGGACAGTGGCTCCTTGTGATCAGCCCCCGGAGGGTTAATGAAGAATAACATGCCCTTCGGGAAGCCAGTTTGCTTAAAAGGCTTCAGGCACCCAAAAAAACCTCTGATGCAGCTGACAATTATTAATTATTAACTTGCTACAAGCCAATGGATACTGATTAAAACCATTAGCAAATGTATATCTGTTGAGCCTAGCAAACATTAACTCCAGTACAGTGGGGACCAACCTCCCTCCTTCATGTTTTATACATGCGCATTAGTTCTACTGATGGAGGCAGATTTGTATGTACAGTATTCATCCTCTTTAAATCTATTATTATTATACACATTGTGACAACATAAAAATGTTTTTTTGCAGTTTTGAATGGACATAAGCACAAGAGGGGGACGCTTGCAAAGGTGTCATCAATCATGACAATGCACAAGACAGCAAGTTAATGAAGACAGTCCCACCAAAACAAATCTATTAAATAACAGCTATAAAACTTAATGAAATCCTGTGACAGCGTTTGACAACTGAATAGCCCCAAATGAGCTATTCTGCATGGCTAAGTACATTCAGCACACTGCTAATGAAAAGGAATTAATCCTATTACTACATTGTTACTCAAAGTTTGCCGTCAGCTAAATTGTCACCTATTTCCCGACTAGGAACAGGCTGCACAGAAGCACATGATCTCCAAAATGAATGTGAATAAGCCAGGTAGCCCCAACAGCCCGGAAAAGTCATTTGGGGGCTGCGTGTCTGCCACCTGTGATTTTCACAAAAGTGAACGGCAAAAGCTCTGAAATAACTACGTTCAATAATCCTCTGGAGCGTGGCCCTCGAGTAAGCAAGGCTCTGAAAGCAAACGCTCTGACCCGATTCATTAATCTGCAACTGTTTCGCGCTGATAAGCAATGGCAGCACAGGTGCCCCACTACTAGGAATGGTTTTGAAACAAAGGAAGTGCAGAAGGTTTGAACACCACCGCAGAAACCGTCAGCCCTCCCCGGCTGCCAGGGCTGCCCAGATGCAGCTACCTCTGACATTTCAGCCCCGTAACGTGGCTGGCTCATAGGTTTGCAATGTTTGAACAGATGCGTGCTGAAATTCATGACGCGCTATCGTCGCCCACTCAGAGCCTTACCGCGGGGTCCCCGTGTTGCAATAGCGCCGCCTGATCCAAAGCCCACCGAAGGTGATGGGAGGGTTTTTTTCCATGACAGAGGCCAGCAGGGGCCTTTGCAGGCACCCAGCGTGGGGCACCTACACCTCTCCCCACGCAGGGCCCCAGCCAGGGCTGCCAGCCAGCTCGCCCTAGTGCCACCCCGTGGGTCAGGTGGCAACGTGACAAACGGGAACGGACTCTTCAGGGGGTTATAAACCACTGTGGTGTAAAGAGCCAACATAACAAGCTCCTCAGACTCCTCTGCTGCCCTGATCTGAAACTGCCTGTCCTGGGCTGGACTCTTAAATCCCTTCATTTTGAATAGCTGACCTTATCTTCCCCCTCCCCGCAACCTCCACCATCACAAAGGAAAAATGCATGATTTCTATAAATAGCCATTATCTCCATTCACACCGCACGCTGTTGTTTTCACTCCCGAATGAACACAGAAGTCTGCCCAAGCCAAATCAGCGTGTGTGTTCAAACAGACATGGATGTCTCAGGTCTCTGGGGCAGCTTCTGCAGGCAGTTGGCGAATGGTTAATCACAAGCCTTGGGGATCAGGATATTCGCAGGCCCTCCTTGCAGTGAGTCATCTTCTCATCCCGGCCTCCAGCAAGCTCCTCTCTTCCCCCTCCCTGCTCAACCTAGCTTCCCGGAGGTCATTTCTGCAAATACCGGATTGCTCATCACAAAGAGCTGGGTTCGGGTTCACTTTTAATCAATAAATAACAGAATCCTTGTTGGCGTGAAGGCACGATACACTATTTTAATCCTCCTGCATGCTCTTGCCCTGCCACACAGTCACACCTACGCTGCCAGGCTGAACACCCATGGAGGGAAATAGCCCCTGCCCGGGTGACAGAAGTGACACACGGAACCAGAGCAGCTAGGAAGCGAGGC